TCACTGTCGGGTTTCGTGAGATACGTACTGATGATGATTCCGAATAAAAATAAAACAGCTGTACAGTCGCACATTCTGCATGTCATTATGAGTACTCGCCTCGTTCGTAACAGAACCCGATTAAACAGTAAGAAAACACCATAAACGAGCTATTCGTAAACCATACGCGCTTGAAAAAGTGCCGCATTGATTTGTATTTATTCCTCAGCATACACCTAGACACCACTCATATCGTTTGCACTGTGAGTTGATTTAATCACGTTTCCAGTCTTGTACAGGGCAGCCCCAGCGGAATTTTTTTCGCATTCTTATTACAGAACTGACCCATCTACCAGTCAATTTGCGCCGCACTTCTATAATTTCGACAGTCTTACTTGTGTTTTATTCCGCTCAGATAGTAGTACCACTAGGATTGAAGTTGTATTAACAAGCTTGTGGCGTGGTACAAGTGGCTCGCCATCGCGCATCATGTCGTTCACTTCAGAACCCCTCCAGGAAATGCTACACAGACAGAAAATAGGATTCGAAACATTGGGGAAGTTTCTTTATAATCACAAACATCCAATTACAGCCGACGCCTACAGACGCAGAAGTATCAGATCAGGAGTTTCAGGTTTGTGTCATGACAGAAGCCAATAACCATCCAAACTTCACTCTTAATTCCGAAGTCCAGCTTGTTGAAGACTAACCAATTAAGCTGGATAGGGCAGTTTCTGTGCGGAAGAAAGTTGACTCACGAGTTTACGTAAACTGTTGCGCTTGTAGTCTGTAAAACCATCCGGATTGGGCTTTCGGAGAAACCGTTAAGCAGCTCATCAAAGTCGTTGATTCCGGAATTTCTATCTGAGTATTTCCAAGAATATTAGTTTGCACCTTGAGCTGGTATCTTCAAGATAGTGTCAGCGCCCTAGCTCAACGGCGTCATAGTTGATCGATTCAAAGGTTTCAACTTGTTTATGAGACCATTGACTTGTTTTGGCTATTAATCCAGTAGGTCTTGTCTTCTCTGTGACCACTGGATTGATTACCAACTGAAGCTTATCATCAGGTATCAAGGAGAGCAAACTTGTTTCCTTTCTAAAGGCCAACAAAAATACTCGCTAGATTCTTCTGCAATTTTGTTTATTCTTCTATCTCGCATGTGTCCATGCGTGGACTTCCGAAGCCCTGCACATCTTCCAGGCCCAATTGTAGGCATATGTGGCTATCTGTGACCTAGCTGTTTCTTTTACAGTGGGTAGTGGTCACCCTCAAACCCGGATACATTCATGGTTATCGTCTGTCGGAGACCTTTTCTATTTCCATCGCTTCAAACTATCGCCTCGACATACTTTCAAATTTCGTTCGGGTCTATCTGAGTGGTGACTTCCATGATATAAGGGCCAGAAGTAACCGCGTGATCACTTCGGAATCACTTCGCGAATCACAACGGACTAATAAGAGGATCCTTTTTTAATCCCCATATGCTGTTGAGTCGGTACTTTGTGAGATACAAGCAACTGACTGTTTTAAAAACATGCTGGCAGGGCTGATTTCACACTTCGAGGGCGAGCAGGTAGGTCACCAACGTTGGCACCAACTAAGACTTTCTCTGTCTCGCCAGGAAAGCTTCGTCTTTATCACACATGAATCTAGGGAGTTGGACAGACACATATCAGTCTTCATAGTTCCGTGCAAAGTGAGTGTTGTCCGTTGATCGGAAGCTGTTTTCGTCACAAATGGGATAAGTTTTCCAGTGTTAGTTATGCACAACCTCCTCCAGTTCTACCTACGGTATCCGCTATGTGAGTAGCGAAGCCCAGAGTTTTCAATAAGATCTTCACTTATGACCAGATCTCTTGGCGCCGTATGAAGTCAAAAGTTTAGGCTGTCTAGAGCACTGCTTTGACCTTGTTCAGGATGCTATACACATCCGTGCACAGAAAAATGCCTTGAGCGGCCTTTCCCGTTTCCACTGGTGTTGTTTACTTCCTGGAACACCCCAAATCTCGGGGTTTTTTAGCCAACTCGTCATTTTGTTTGGCTTGGCTTTTTCTACACTATGAGAAGAGGTTTTGATCAATGCAGGGTAGGCAGATTCTTATTTTTCATTACTGGCTGTCTGTTTTGTCTCAACATTCAAATGAATTTCCATAGAACATTCGAACTGAGTCACTATCTGGCTAACCATCAAACCCCCTGGCACCGAGTGCGGCCACTTTGGATTCCATCTCTGTCCCATTTTGTGCATCTTCATCCCACAAATTTGAGCTGATATGTTAGCCTCCACAATGAAGTTTCTACGAAAACATGACGGCACGAGACAGGCTACACGATTGCAAGGCAAAGTCTCCGGAGTCTTGAAAAAACCATGAGCTTCGAAGGTTCTAATGCCTTTCCAAAATACTAGAGAACATCGTCCGTGAGGGTTTGGGCGGACAATTTCTCCTCTTCTTCTTGCGTATTTATGGGGGTTTCCAGATTATACCTAACTACCCTAGAATTATGGGTTGATCTCGAACTGGCCTTCACACGAGTTGATTGATGAACTTGAAATCTGAGTCGCCTTGTGGTCTCAGCCACCCGAGTCCATCGAATCCATACTCAAATATTAGCAGTCAGCTATCATCTTAATAGACTACCAGAGACTACAGGGAAACTGAAAACTACTAGATAATGTAGAAGTTGTGTGATTAAACTGAATCAGAAGGGAGAGACAATGAGAGGAGTAAACAAGCAGCTAGCGAAACTACGAAAGCAAACATTGCTGAGTGCTGACCATCGACCTAGAGCTTGTGGTGGTCACTCACCAGACCACGCATCACAAAGACTCAAATCACGTTGCAAGCTTATCCAGCAAGATGCACACTGAAATTTCCTATCCATTTTTTGCTTGCGCGGCAACCACCTGCGCCACTCGCTAGGCTCACGAAATTCAACCAAACCAAGTCAAGTTGTGTTCATGTTCGTGGAATTATCAAACAGGAATGATGTCCCCCTCTTCACAGTGCACTCAATAAATAGGCACGAAAGTCGGTCCAAACACACGCGCACAGAACATGAGGTCGACCGAACTCCACAAGCCCGCATGGACAACTATGGAACACGTGTAACAGAGGAGACCAGTCCCGAGTCCGGAAATTCACTCAGGAGCTCTCAACAGTTTTCCTCAATCGAGAAGGCACTTTTTGGCTTATTCCATTGTTGCATTGTATTTATTTTTAGCAAGTGCACATACCTTTTGCAGTCGTCATCATCCTGGTGTAACAGACACTTCTTAGTGCTTTTCACCTCATGATAACCAACCAAATTGCGTTACAACCCTAACACTAACAAACTCAGTATGCGAAGCGGTAAACCGAACGGCATTCAGTTTGTGTTTGAACTTGTTGGTACCATGAGCTACCTCTCCCTCCACTGGCGTACTTTGATGTACAACTATTTTTGTCAGAAAATTGGTTGTTTCTGGGGCAGATGGACCCTACTCTTCTAAGTTTAATTGCACTTTCCTGTGTTTTCATTCATACATGAGGTAGGGGCAAAATGTGTTCAAAAAGTGGATATAAAGATATTTCATTTAGAGCGAAGTGCATAACCTTACCTGATTTTAAGGCTGTGGACCTCCCACGCGAATTTCGTGTAGTGCTTTGAAATCAGCATATGTTTACACTGATTCCCCAGCTCTTATATCGGTATAAATGGATTCTGATACCAACAACGTTTTGTCTTCCTTGTCTGTCAGAAAATATCGGGGCCATTGTTCAGGTGAACATGCATGAATATTGTTCTTCTAGAGCTCTGTCCTAGTGTGCTGTAATATAATGCTCTCTTGAGAGATTTTACAACTTCCCAACATTTCTATCACCTAGGTGTCTAGTTACTTTATCTATCTATCTATCTATCTATCTATTATCTATCTATCTATCTATCTATCTATCTATCTATCTATCTATCTATCTATCTATCTATCTATCTATCTATCTATCTATCCTATCATCTATCTATCTATCTATCTATCTATCTATCTATCTATCTATCTATCTATCTATCTATCTATCTATCTATCTATCTATCTATCTATCTATCTATCTATCTATCTATCTATCTATCTATCTATCTATCTATCTATCTATCTATCTATCTATCTATCTATCTATCTATCTATCTATCTATCTATCTATCTATCTATCTATCTATCTATCTATCTATCTATCTATCTATCTATCTATCTATCTATCTATCTATCAACGTGTACATATACATATCTATTTATATATATCTATTTAAAGCGCGTCAAAATGTCCCATCAAACGAGATCTCTCTCGTCAGCCAATCATTTCCAAAATCCGCCACAGGGAGCTTTTTGAAATGCCGGTTGTACCTATTCAGCTGCTCGTTAATGTTGACTACAGACCACTGCTCTCACGGTAAATCCGCTTTTGACTCTTCTGTATGCAAGTACATTCATGTAACGTTCTAAACCTGCTATCTGCATAGTTGCATTTTGGAGTTTCTGACGTCATTCTATTGGTTGTTTGAGACGCGGCAAGGCTCGGCTGGATTATTTTTTCCCAGAACTTGATGTGTAGGTAGCGCCTTTGTCCATGAGGTGATCTGGTAGCGTATTAGTCATTCAGTCGTTCTGATTATGACCGAATGTTTGTATGAGCTGAGACCGACTTAAGCCAGGACTCAAAATACCATTTGCGATAATTTACATACTATTCTCGCATGTTTCTAAGAGGAAAGAGTGTAATACAACTACTTTTGTTCACTTACCTGAAACCGGACATCACCATGAGACCATCTGCCAAGTCTGTTTTGATTGATAAAAGATGTATATAAGGTACCACAACAAAAGACACATTTAGAGTAGCGTTCTTGAACGTATGTGATTCAACAGTCTTCGCAGCCATTCCGAATCTTGAACCACTATAGGACACACAGCTACAGTCTGTGTTCTGAAGCATATGGCTCCATACCACAAACAGCTCAAAAGAGAGGATCTTGAGAACTGTAAAGCTAGACTGCCTGTCTTAATCACAGACTAACTATCGTAATGTTCTACCTGTTCGATTGATATCTTTCTTCTGAGGTTGCACGCAGTTCGAAAGTAAGTATTCTTTGGTTTTGAATGACTCTATTACTGGGGTTAACAAAAACATCGGGATGAACTTACATACAGGTTTTTCGGTTTTTAGCTCATCAAGCGAACTAAACCTATCAATTTCCACCAATCGCATTCTTTACGTAGCTACTCACCTCACGCGTGCAAACTAAAATTGTGGTTTTAAGGACATCAACTACACCTGTCGTTTTCAACAGTTTCTAAATGAAAATGCTTAACGAAGGCTGCGCCGCGGCTTATTTAGAGTGATATTCAGCAAAATGTTTGTATTCTTCTCCATACGGCATTATTGATCAGGTTGATTAAAACCCCTCATCTTATTTTGTGATTCACTAGGTTGATACACGTGAAAGCCGCTTCTAATAAGTGGGATCCGAAAGAGTAGAATTATCACCGTTTACAATCACCGGTCCTCTGCGACTGATCAGAGATCAGTACTCATCTATTTGCATGAGAAAATTGATGTTGCCTCAAGTAGCTTTAGAGCTGAGGATTATCATCCTTTCGTAAACCAGGACCTTATTTGTGGAGAGAAGAGAACCCCTAAATCAGATGAACTAATTTGCTATGGTACTCCTCAAAAAGTTCCTTTGGAGGGATTTTGAAGAATCTAGAGTAAACTACTTTGCATAGCACTGATAAATAAATCAATAAGTCTCCACGAGAAATTGACACAAACTATTGCTCATAAGATTTCTGAAGATTCTTCAGCAGCCGACAAACTATTTAGTCATTCTTATGATTAAACAGTCTCCTGATTTTTCATCAAACTCATACAGGAAAACCAGGTTTAACTACAATGGCGAAGTATAACCAATTGAAATTAGATTAATTTTAACAACAAAAAGACCGCCCCACATTTCACTGGATAAGAAATCGCATTAAAGTTTCTTGGCATAGCACGTCACTCTTGAGTCTACTGAAAACTCTCCGACAGCCCAAGAGTGATTTCGACTTTCCTTTAGTATGGTTTCACAACTTCTCATGTGCTCTTCAAAAATATGCCATTCGAGAATGAATGTGACTCATGTTGTTCTGAGGTAATTAACTGACTTCCCCAACTAACCTTTGTTACACTCGACGATAGAAGATTTTGACCTGGACGGTAAATTGACTGGAAATCTGTCTTCCGATATTTCAGACAGTCTCTATTGTCGTGATTCCTTGTAGTTCTTCAGGGTGCTCATCATTCACTTTCTTAATTTCCAGCACCTAGTAGATTAATTAGAAAAAATCGATACGATTTTATAATGGGTAAATTAGAATAATTCCCACAGAGCTTTGAAAAACTGTAGTTTAAAAGGATTATTAATCCTCAGTTGCATAACAGAATCTACTGAGTAGTTTCACTGGCAGTATGCTACGATAGTTGGAATATCGCGCCGAATGAAACATGAGGCACCGGTGTCCAACATATCCAGGCGAGGAATATCATAAACCAGACACTCAGCTGAGTTTCTCTTGAGCACTCAATTGGTATTCAAATGAATGTGTTCCCATAAGCTGTCTAACTTGAGTTCAACTAGAACATAAGTTTGACGGGAACCCGGGGCTTTCGCCTACCTGATGAACCCCAAGAAGAGCGAAACCGGTCGTGGCTGTCGAAGAGCTTTCAGTAACCTTGTGAGAGGTTTCCCTTATGAAAATGTACTGCGATATGTCGAACATCGTACAAACTATGTGCAGCAAACTGAGTTAAAAACTATCATAAAAGAGGGATTCAGCAGAGTCTCCTGTGAAAACTCACTTGCTATCCAAGTGACTTGTAATGTTCCCTTTTTTGTTATCCAGGGGTGACAAACAGTAGTCAGATAACAGCCTTATGGTACGCCTCAATTTACAACGTGTGTATTTAGCAGTTGAAGTAAGGTGCTTACACTAGTGTCAGAGTTCGTGTGTACGATCAATGGTCTTCAACGCGAACGGGTCCGAATCCGATTGAAGCTACCTATTTAGAGGCAATCAGGAACCAAACTAGTATTCTCACGCTTGATAGCTAAAGGGCAGTAGTCAGAGAACAGACTTATGGTACGCCTCAATTTGCAACGTGTGTATTTAGCAGTTGAAGTAGGTGCTTACACTAGTGTCATAGTTCGTGTATACGATCTATTATCTTCAACGCGAACGGGTCCGAATCCGATGGAAGCTACCTATTTAGAGGCGATCAGGAATCAAACTGGTATTCTCACGCTTGATAGCTAAAGGTCGTCAGAAATGGACTTCGCACGTGATCTTGTAGCGTGGTCACTTAATTTACCAGTTACTTAATTGTTCTATCAAACTGCTGTTTGAATACATTCTGTTCAAGCTCAAAGTTCATTCCAGTTATGATTTGTTGATAACCACATCGGGTTTCTCTGAAGAGGAGTTCAGAGATCTGTGATACTAAAGTACTAGTCCTTTCAGGGGTCCAAAGTAAGAAAACGGACAAACAGCCATGGATATGGAAAAGGTAGAAAGAGAAGAAGATCCAACGGGACAAAAACTTGAATACCGGAAAATGGACCTAACTATTCATTATCGCCATCCTGCTAAAGAATTCCACGAATGAGTCTCACACAGACAGTCAAGAGCTTTACATGCGCCAAGGGGACAGGTGAGGTCAGCGGCCACGTGGTTTTCGGCTTTAGATTGTTAAACTGAAAGGTTCGAGCCCAACTCTGGCAGCTGACTGTTTTTGCTTAAGCTTAAGCGATATTCCACCTGTCATTTTTACATCGTCCGCACATGCTTCCGTGGTCTTTTGTGTCTTGTGGGAATTAAATTGGCTTTGTACATATTTACGGAAGACATCACACCAAAATTATGTTAAATTCACTTTTGTATACTTACTTGCGAATGCGCATGAATGAAAGTACCCAACGAATCAACTGGTTCACTTAATTTGCTAATACTACAGACTTGTTCGGCCAAATGAACCGGCAATTAGCAACTCAAGTGAGTACAAAAAAGGCCATTCGTAGTTTTACAACGGACGAGTAAAATTAAAAGCACTTTTCCAGCAGGAAATCTGAATCCTGCTGTGCCATTAAACAAAGAGCAGCAAGAAACGAGGCAGTTTGATAAGGACACATAGTCGAAGCTTTTTGTGTATCGATTCTGTTATGTGTGGCAAGTACGGGTGACCGGAAGTCAGTGGCGTGCGCTACTGCTATAAACATAATGGGGCATTTCTCGAGAATATCTCTGAATTATTGCCAGTCGGACCAACGTTGAGGGGAAATATCCATTGGAACATCGCTCCAGTGCATTTCGAAGGTGAGTTATTTCTTGCTCGATTACGATCAGCGTAAACAGGGGTCTTCTACACCCGTTTGCAAACATATTTGATTTTGCGGGAGACCCAGATGGATCTCTCGGTGTACTTCACGAATTTCATGCAATTGGGTTTCAGGTAGAACGTAAGGTTCACGGAAACTCGGGGACTGCGCCTAACTGATGAGTCCCAAGAAGGGCGAAATCGGTCGTGGGCTGTCGAGAAGTTTTCAGCAACTTTGTGAATAGTGCACTACAGGTATATATAGGTCTTCTACATTTGAAGAATTATCAAAATATTTTCATCTAACTTACGTCGCATATACCATGACAGGACCCTGTGTAATGGAAGCTATTGGAGCAACACCATTTGGTCAGTCTTTTTTCCTAATTAAGTGTTCAGACTGGAGGTGTTAGCGCACATGTAGTCATTTATTGGAGAGGCGCTTAAGCGGTCCGATACCCGTCTGTAAATGTCACCGTGTGATGAGGTCATGGACTTGTAGTGTGACCAGGAGGCCGCGATAAATGAACCCACATTGTGTGCGCAGTTGTGTAATCGAAGACTTTTTGGCAAATCCTTATACCCAATATGGCTCAATAAGCAGCCAAATGATTTATTTCACTTGTAGGCAAACTTCTTGTCATCAGTCCTAGTGAACGACGGTTTCAGAATACGCATTGGTTGATACTTGTTTACTTCTTTAACGGGATATTTCCAGAAAGAAAATACACGGTTTCCAAAGCCTTATGAAGAGGCAATCTATGGACTTTTCGGATAGATAGATAATTGCCTGGAAACATCATAAACAAGAGATTTAGCTGGGTTCCAGGTGAGACTGTCGAAACTTCGTTTGTAAATTAGCGTATTTCGCTAAATGCGAAACCTCTTTAATCCTTCAAAAATGCAATCTCAATTGCAGAATTTGTATAGTTGACCCGATTTTGTCCGTAATTCCTTACGTCTTCAGATCCCCTCTTCACATGACTTTGTAAGGCGACGTAAACNATAAAGATAAAAGGCTGCTAAATTGGGGACCGG